TTGATCATAAATAGGGGCTAAAAGTCAGTCCAGTCCATGCTGGGGACTTGGACAGAGTGCTGTTTCCGTTCTTTGAAACGTCTTGTAGACTGAGAAGTTAGGAATGTCCCAAGACTTGCGCGCAGCACAGCTTGAATTTCTGTTATTTTTCTTTCTCTTTGCTGTCCACAGTCCGTGCCCTCATTTCTTTACACCTGACCACCCTCCTCATCCCTAACAGCTGTTTTTCTTTTTAGAGTATTTATCTTTGCCTAAAAAGAATGAAATGAAACCTCAGTTCCGACTCTCACTATTCATAATGCGGGCTTTGGAGTCACACCGACTTAGCCTCAAACCCCAGTCCCTTTGCTTCTTTGTCATGCGACTTTAAACAGCTTCCTGTCTGAGAACCTCACTTTCCTTAGCTGGGAAATGGGACTCATACTGCGACCTCACAGGGTTGTTATAAGGATTAAATGAAATCATGGAGTCACACGGTGATCTGCAGAGCAGAGCTTAATAGATATTCCTTGCTGCGTTTGTTGTTCTTATTGGAAGAAGTAATCAAAGGGTTTGGCTTTCACTTTTAGCTGGATATTGTGGAAGGAGCCCTAAACTTGCCTCAAGAGACTGTTCTGATGCCATTTACTGTTTGTATCACTTTGGGCAAATTACCCCACCCTGCTGAGGTATAATAAAGTGGTAATAGGTTTACCAAACTGATTGGGTTTCTGTGAATGAGATTACCATTGTGTGGGAATGAGTGACCAGATGAGGATCCTTATCCTTGTTTTCTTTAAACAAACTAGAAAAAGGAATAATGTTTTCCATTGTAGCAGTTACTTTACTTTTTGAAGCTAAGGGGTCCTGGTTGCATAAGGTTAGGAGTCCAGGACACAGCAGATCATACTCGTGACCCAGGAACAAAGGGCATAGACGGGGAAGAGCAGGGGATCTGTGTTGGAGAAAATCCTCTGCCAGAACTCACAGGTCAGATTTCAGGGAAGCTGCCCGAGGGCTTGAACGTCCCTGCTTTTAGGTTCCAGTTATGGAAATAATCACAAAGAGATCAGTTAAAACTATAATAATGTGAAAAGTGGTGAACCTGAAATATTCGGGTAGGTTCTGTTTCATAGAAAAACATGAACTAGTTGATGTGTGTGAATGATGCTCGGACAGTTTAACTATTTCCTGCATGGTGCCCTGGTAATATTTTATAGAAATCCATGGTTTTCTGGAAGCAGTCTACCTAGTGTTGTGGAAGGATCAGTCTCTGAAGACGAACAGCTTGGGTTCTGAGTCAGCCAACTTTAGGCACAGTAGTCAGGGTCTCCCAGCAAAGTCCTTGACAAATGGGCATTTAGTAAATAGAGGAATAGCAGGAGGTAGTGGAGCATCCTGAGAGAGGTTAGGGCTGATGGAACCAGAGGGAATGGATTGCCATCAACTGTATTACTGCCTAGTTATATGACATACTGGAGCAAGTTACTTTACCTGTCTGGGACTTATTTTCCTCATCAGTAAAATGGGAGTCATCATAGTTATTGTCTTCAAGAATTGTGGTCAGGATTAAAACTGGCATTGTAATCAAGCTGCTTAGCAGAATAGCAGATACGTGGTAAACACATGATGAATTTTAAAGGCATTCATTCATTCATTGAGTCACAAGGACTTACTGAGTTCCTGCTGTATGCCAGGCACTGGGCTTACAGCTGTGACACAGGCGGCAGCTGGAATTAATTGTCTAATGATACAGCTCCACTCTCCATATGAAGTGGGGGCTCTCGTGAAAGGTAGGCTCCTTTCAGAAACCAGAACTGGAGCAAGCCCAGGGCCAACTATAGAGTAGAAATCTGCCTCCTTGGGTTTTACTGGAAAGGAATCAGGATGTGGGCAGGGTGGTAAGATTATGTATTTTTATCATCTGATCTCTTCATCAGAGAGGGAATCAAAAGTGAGGAACCCAGGTCTGAGCACCTGGGCCAGCCCCATGGGGAGTCTCTCTTGCCATCAGGGCTGGCTGGGGTAGAGACAAGCCTGGATGTTGGCTGGCCAGGTCTGTGTAAGCCAGGGTGTTACATAGATTTTTCATTTCCTATTTATTTCCTTGTTTCTTCCTACCTGTTTATAGTAGTCTTGCAGAGGTCTAGCCAAGGGCAAAGAGTTGTTAGCATGCTGTATCAGTGTTAAGCAGCAGCACCCCTGGAGGTCTTTGCAGTGGAGACAGTGGGAAGCCAAGAGAGGGGATTCCAAGTCTAGTAAGCAGCTGTGAGAAGTTGGTAGAGGGAAGGCAGAGTGGCCAGCTTCAATCTTCCTCCTGTTTGCAGACAATAAAATGAGGAAACTTCAATCTTCCTCCTGTTTGCAGGCAATAAAATGAGGAAACTCTGAGTGAAGGCATTGTCCCTATTTTGTCAATCAGTGTATCCTTAGCAGGCTTCCTGGTGTCACTTCTGCATTTCTTCTGAGTCTCAGATGTCACTGATTGCAAGATGCACCATTATTTCTTATACCATGAAGTAAGGAAGGAAATGATACCAATTAATTGTAACATACCATTGATTGTAAAATTCACACTGATTTTAGAGAAGCTACATATGGAAATCTGAGTGCCTTAGAGTTAATAAAATGCGGTTGTTGCATACAGTAAGTATTTGTGAACTGGAAGAATGGGACATAAGAGATTTGAATAAGGTAAAACACTAGCACATATAAATACAAACTTAGAAATTCAAACTATTAAAGCATGGACCTGTTCATCCTCATTTCTGTTAATTCATTGATTCTGTTGTTCAATCAGTAAACATTTATTGAAAACATATTATGTGCCAGACACTGTGCAAGGAGCTTGGGATGCAGAAATCAATACGTTCATTTTTTTTTTCAGATTCAGTTAGGAAGACAGATATGGAAAGAAAAATAAAATTGTGATGCCAGAGTGGTGAGTTTTAAAAGCGAGCAGGGACACAATACTATGTTGGCATCCTGTGTATGTATGCAAGGGGAGAAAGGGAAGAGAGTCTTCTCCAAAGAGAGGTGATGGCTGACCTGGTCTCAAAATATAAGTCTGTGGTCACCAGGCAGACAAGAAAAGGAGAGAATTAGGAAGGGATGAGCAAAGGATGGAGGAGGCTTTTAGCAGTGTGGGGCAATTGAGAGCTTATGAGTAGTTTGAGGAGGTCTGTAGCCTGGAGTGAGAATGGACAGGACTATGTTAGGCAGGGCTGGGTGGTAGGCAGAGGGATCCCTCAGAGGGCCTGAGATGCTGTGCTGAGCCCCTGGGGTATATCACAGCCCAAAGCTGGTGGTTTTCAGTTGTTTTGAGAGAGGATCAAGCAGAGGAACTGCTGGGGGAAGGGTTGGAGGGTGGGGCAAGGGCGATCTTTGCTTCAACCATAGCATCTCTGTTTTTATCTGTTTTATTTATTTTCTTCAAATAATGGATTGAAGAAAAGTTATCACTGTTAAATAAAGGAATGAATGATTTGAAACCTGGTGCTAATGGTCATATGGATGTCCCCAAGGGGAATGTAAGCAAGGGAGTAAAGTTGAGATTACACACTAGTGGGGGCCTGATGAAGCTCTGATGAATGGAGCGAACGTTATTACTGTAGCTTCTCTATTTTATTTTTCACTTGCTCATGAGCCACAAAGCCAAAAGGGGGACAATACAGTTGGGAAAGCATTGCAATTAAGACAGAAGCAATTATTTTTAATGAAGTTGTTTTTATTGGTTCATTTGTTACTGGAATAAATATCTAGGAAGCAGTAACTGAACATCTGCTGGTTGGTTTTCTTTTAGAATCTCCAAGTTTGACTTGGCTAAGGAAACATTTTCTTTCTGAAGTTGAAGGATGCAGAAGGCTGCTCAGATTGAAATTAGACTCTGGGTGGTAAGACTGCCCTGAGTTCACCTGGAGAGTTGTAAGACATTCACCTGCTCAGTTGTCTTGGGGGCTTGTTCTTATTCTTTCAAAGGCCAATCTGTAAAATAAAATCCTCTATGAGATTCCGTATCATGCGGGCTAATCTGACCAAAGGGACTTAGAGCAGTCATGAAGGCCAAGGAATTCCTGAGTGTGCTCTGGTCAGATTTCCTTGTAACTCACAAGGGGTCTGTAAGGAAAACAGATTGTCTAACTAATTCCTGATCTTGTCTCCTCAGGGTTCCTTCCCAATTCCCAGTCACTTCATTACACAGCTGCAATATATTTGCCTCTTTTCCAAATCTATACCGAAAGCTTTGAGAAACAAAGGAAAGAGCATGAGACTTGGGATTGCATAAATGTGGGACTTTAGGTCTAGGCCACCCCTGCTTGAAGCTAAGTAAATTCCTTAACTTCTCAGAGACCTGCTTCTTCATCAGTGTTGTGTATATCATTATAATAATGTACATTTACTGTTTGAATGTATGAGTAGATCTAGCTAGCATTAAGCAAAAAGTTATCGCTTGGAGTCTCACTTTGACCACCTGTAAAATAGAGATGTAAATAGGCTCATTTTCTAGAGTCATAGTGAGAAGTAGAGGGGATGTATGTACTTTTCACAGTGCTTGCAAGTAAGAGGTACTCAGTAGGTAATTGTGGAATGAATGACTGACTAGGAAGACAAGATTCCTTTTCAGTACCGTGGCTCCTGTCCCTGTTGATTGAAATTCACTAAGAATAAATTCATCTCTGTTGCCTCCAGATTCTAAGTTCTCCTACCACTCTGTTCTTGTCCTTATAGCACTTATCAAAAGTTTGCCTAAATAATTATGTATGTAAATGCTTGATGTCTGATTCTTTTTCAAGAATGGAAATGCGTGTCTGAGGCCATATCTGTCCTGTTTAGATATGTAGCATGTAGCTCAATGTTTATTAGTATACTGTTAGCACTAAAAATGTTTGTTGGATGAATAAATAACAAATGGCTACCAGTTAGGTAGTGGTATCTCTTTTATTTCTACTTTTGAGATGTTTTGTGACTATCTTTACAGATCCACTTGGTCTTTATGTAGTTTTTACACTTGCTTACTGTAGGTGGAGGAACGGCAATGTCTGGTGGAGAACAGAAACCAAAGAGGTACTATGTGGGTGTGGACGTTGGAACAGGCAGTGTCCGTGCAGCTCTGGTGGACCAGAGTGGGGTCCTGTTGGCTTTTGCAGACCACCCAATTGAGAAGTGGGAGCCCCAGTTCAACCACCATGAGCAGTCCTCCGAGGACATCTGGGCTGCGTGCTGTGTTGTCACAAAGGTATGAGCAAAACTGACATTCTCTCCTTGCTTATGTTCCTACCTGCTGAGTGTTTGTTGTGTGTCCATCTGGTGCTGCAAACTATGTTGGGGTAACTTTAGATGCAGAGGTAAGCAGAACATAGGCCTTGTCCTTCAGAAGCTCACAGTCTAGTGGCAGAGACTGATAAACAGCTAACATATGATAAGAGCTGGGAGCAAAGTAACTATAGCTGGAGCTGGGGAAAGAGCTAACCAGAGGGGCTCAGGGAAGACAGGGCAGCTTCAGGTGTGACCAAATGTGGAAGAATTCACTGATCGATCATCTTACTAACATTTACCATGTCTTTAACGTGTGCCAAAGGCTGTGTAAAATGTGTTAACTTGCACTGTGTAAGTTGCATCTTCACATGATCTATAAAGGTGATACTATCACTGTGCCTCTTTTACTAAGGGAGAAATGCAGGCACAGAAAAGTTAGGTGACTTACTCAAGTTTACACAGTAAGTAGCAGAGGCAGGACTATAACAAAGCAGTCTGACTCCAGAGGTGCACTCTTTTTTTTTAATTATAAAAAATTTTAATTGTTTTTTGGGGAATAGGTGGTATTTGGTTACATGAACAAGTTCTTTAGTGGTGATTTCTGGTATTTTGGTACACCCATCAACCAAGCAGTGTACAGTGTACCCAATGTGTAGTCTTTTATTCCTCACCACCCTGCCATGCTTTCCTCCAAGTCCCCAAAGTCCAATGTAACATTCTTATGCCTTTGCATCAGAGATGCATTCTTAATCAGTGGACTCTCCTGCCTTCCAAGTGGACCAATGAGGATGACATGAACTGCATTTTGGGCAGAGGGAATAGCATATGCAAAGGTCTGGTGGCATGAAAGCATGGTGTGTTCTGAGAAAGCAAAGAAGTCAGACTAGAGTGTCTCCCATATGTGCCAGGCATATATTCACCTTGAGTGGCCTTGGATTGGATGTATCCTGCTGGCTTGGGAAGGGATGGAATGCTGTACAATTTTTGTTTGTTTTTAAAGTTTCACTTGACTGTTTGATTTTATATCCTGGTGATCAGTAATGGCAGAGATCCTTTTGTCTTTTTTTCCATAGGGAAAAATTAAGTCCTGGATTCCTTCTTTTCCCTGTTCCTGGTTTATTTCCTTAAATATTCATGAGGTGCTTGGTAATTTGCAGATAGAAAGTTCACTATTCTGTCCCTATTGATCAGTCTGTTTAAACTTTAATGAATTCTGGGCTGCTGTTAGTACCCTCAGAGAAGAAGGCAGAGAGAGAAGGGAGTGGGTAGTCAGTACTGGAGGATTATACAGGAGTAAAAGAGGGATGCATCTTCTCCTCTGCCTGTTTAATTTTCCTCTGCCCTCCCCTCCTTTCTGCCCCCAATCTGGTAAGAATCTTCTCCTCTTTGCACTTGGGTCTTCTTTGTTCTTTTAACGTATAGACTTGCTTGCCATTAAATAAATTATCAAGAAGAAAATATAATCCCCTGAAGAAAAGTTACTTTAAAAAAGATCTTCTCTAAGTACGTACAGAGGTCTACTCTGGCTTAATAGTGGATTTTTAATCATCTCCTAGTGATGGCCAACTTATCATCTCTTTAAGCCCTGTTAGCTGCATAAGTACTGTGGACATTTGTCATTAGTAATGCTATCTCACTATAGCAAACCTGAATGAAGCTCTTGAGTCTTAGACGATTCTCCTCACATGGAGTATGGTTACGTGAGCATGTGCCAGAAGCCACAGGATAAATATGGTAAATCTATATGGAACATCATTGCTGGCGTGAGGCTTAAGGAGGGAAGCATTTCTACGTTAGAGAGGTAGGCGACCTGTTATAGAGCACAGATTCTGCAGCCAGACTGCCTGGATTGACATCCCTCTTCCAACGTTTATTAGTTTGTGATCTCGGACAAGTTACCAATGTTTCTTGCCTCAATTTCTTTATCTGTAAAATGGAAATGGTATTAGTACCTACTTCCATAGGATTTTTGTAAGGATTGAATGAATTAATGCACATAAAATGTCATAACATTGCCTAGAAACGTGTATGGGTTGTTTCCTGTGGTGGTGCTGATGGTGACACAAATGAGCAGATTATAGAGGATAATGAATTGCTAAGATCAAATATTGAAAAGTCAGAGTCCATGGCGGGGAAGGAGCTTCTTGGGAATATTCACTCGCTCTCCTGGTTCTTTCTATGTAAGACTTTGAGAAACACTGATCTAGGGCAAAGGGTGGCATAAAATATGTCCTGGCCTATCTTTTCTTCTTCATGGACTCCAGGAAGTTGAGAGCGTGAGAGCAGTTGCTCTGCTTCCTTTTCCCTAAGTTATTCACATTGCCTAAGATGACTTTCCTCTTATAGCAATAGTAAGAATAATGTGGTGACAATGACAATGACAACTAACAGTTCTTGGGCACCCTGGTCCAGGTACTATGCTGAAGGGCTTTTACCCATCACTTCATTTTATTCCCATGACAACTACTTTTAAAGGTAGTTTTGATTGTCCTCTCTGTTTTGAAGATGGAAAAACAGTGAGCTTTGAAGAGATTCAGCAACCTGCCCACAGTCTCCTGCGTAAGAAGAAGAAAGGGACTCTGCTTCTGCCAGTGTTGCCACTCTCATCCTCTGCCCCTTGTCTCTCTCCAACCATGTCTCCCTCCATGTGACCCTCCCTGGAACTGATAAGAAGTAGCCTGAAGTTTTTAGGATGGGGTATCATGAGGTTACCCTGGATTACAAGTGTGTTAACTGATTTCCTGCTCATCTGGGAAGTGTGTGCCCCCTAAGCAGAGGTTATATCTAGTTCATCTATATTTCTCTAGAATTCGTTGCTTATAAGGTACTCAATTAATGTTTGTTGAGTACATAAATGAATGATACATCTCGGTCATTTACATTGTCTGGAATACTATTCTCTTATATTCCTCACCTTCCCAACTCCTTCCTTACAAAGTAAGCTTAAATATTCCTGTCCTCCTGAGTATCTTCCTCCATGACTTCTGATAGTCAGAAGAAAGGGAGGGTGAGAAGCCCCTCCTACTGCCCAGAACCCACTATCTTCACCCAGATCATTATCAACTCCTTGTCTTTGCACTTTATTTGTTGGCTTATTTAGCCCCTTTTAAACTATGAGCTGAGCTCTTAGAGAGATTCACCTTTGTGTCTCTAGTATCTAATATATTGCCTGGCACAAATTAGGCACTCAATTAATGGCTGTTGAATGAATGTTACTTAGAGCTAAAAACAAAGACAAAATCCAATCTAGCATTCCTTATCTTGTTTCAGTGTCATTGTGGGGCAGGAAGGACAATTATTCTTCCTATTTGAAATATGAGGAAATTGAGGCTCTGAAACTAACAAGTATTAGAGATAAGACCAGGACCCTGGTGAGATGGCTCCAAATGTTCCTTTCTGTCTTCCTTCCCACATCCCCTAAATTTGACAGGTTTTGTTGAGCTGATACCCAGCATACCTAAGAGGTTTTATGGAAACTCACGACTCATAGAGGTTACACACAGTCCATGATTTTAAAGGTTCCTTTATGGAGCCACAAATCTTAATCATTCCAAAATGGTGAGAACATTTCAAATTAGTGCATGATTCATACTACTATTAGGAAGAAGGAGAAGATAAGCTGGAGGAATCATTTAGCCAACAAGTGTTTGTTGAGTATCATTCTTTCATTTAGTCTGCAGACCTTTATTGAGCACCTACTATGTGCTATGCTCTTTGCTAAGCACTGGAGCATATAGAGGAGAGTTATACAAGAAGCCTGCTGCTTTTAAAGATGAAACAGCTTAATTGTATGGTAAAAATAAACAACACATATACAGCCAGTAAAGTACCATTTTTTCTCTCTTGGTATTATCTATATAAGTAATGGTTGTGGGGAGGAGGACAGAAGAAAGAGTAGCCACATGTAGTATTGAGCAATAATGTTAACCTCTTATATTCCTAGAATCATTATAGTTCACAGCGCACCTTCATTTTCATTTGATTGCCGTTGCACGGTAAGTAGGGAAGGGGTTGTTATTTCCATTTCCATTTGAAAAACTGAGGACCAGAGTAGTGATTTTCCCCAGGTCACCCAGGTGGTATGTGATAAGGCAGAACTCAGACAGGTCAAACCTATGCATTCTCTCTGTCTCTGGCACCATATACCTCTATATTTTGCACGGAATATTATTCTAATAACCTAACTCATGCCTTCATATTCATTTTTCTTTTCTTTATTTTTGCATTTGAAGTGGGTTTTTTTTCCCCTCTAGTGCTCACTGATCATGTCACTCTTTTGCTTACAACCCTTTAACATCTGCCATCACACTACTATAGGCATAATGGTAAGTTCAGTTCCAGACCACCATAATGAGGCGAATATCACAATAAAGCTCACATGAAATTTTGAATTTCTCAGTGCATATAAAAATTATGTTTATATTGAAGTTTATTAAGTGTGCAATAGCATTAGTCTAAAAAAAAAGTACATAACTTAATTTTTTAAATTTGCCAAAAACTATGTTAATGATCATCACATCCTTCCGTGAGTTGTAGTCTTTTTCCTGTTGGAGAGTTTACCTTGATGTTGATGGCTGCTGGCTAATTAGGGTGGTGGTTGCTGAAGATTAAGTGGCTGTGGCAATTTTTTAAAATAAGCCAACAATAAGGTTTGCTGCACTGATTGACTCTTTCTTTCACAGAAGATTTCTCTTGTAGCATGCAATGTTGTTTGATAGCATCTTGTCCATGGCAGGGCCTCTTTCGAAATTGGAGTGGGTTCTCTCTGTCCTTAGCCTTATCAACTAAGTTTATATAATATTCTAAATCGTTTGTGTCATTTTAACATTGTTCATAGCATCTTCATCAGAAGTAGATTCCATCTCAAGAAATCATTTCCTTTGTTCATCCACAAAAGCAACTCCACATCTATTCATATTTTATCATGAGATTAGAGCAATTCAGTTTCATCTTCAGGGTACACTTCTAATTCTAGTTCAC